GGATCACTTGACATGTGCCGTTGTCGTACAGCTGTTGAATAAGGTTGATGAATATTTGTTTTTGTTGATATTCTCTAATCAGTTGTTAGAATTCGTCATGAAGTAACACAATTACAAGGAAGCATTCGATAGAAGCTTCGCTGTGGGCTGAGACTCTTGCAGCAGTGTGAATTCACGATCCCATCACTGGAGATGGAAACCGGGAACCTTCTGACGCATGAATGCTAACTTTTGTCAATATATATCCATGATACAGAGCTATCATTATCCTAGCAATAGGCCTTCAGTGAACATTCACACATCACGTGATGACATTGGTGGACTCGTATTCTGGTCACACTTTATCAGTGTACGATGGCTTCAGGACATCACTTATGCGATAGCCATGAATGAACTGGAGATTGGTCGATGTATTCAAGTTATGGGTGTTTCTAGTAGTGATTTTTATTGATTCGAGAGTAAATTTCATCGGAAATCAATATATATCAAGGAGAGTTGTGAGAGGATCATTGATTGAGGAACATATATCATTAGAAAGCCGCTTCGACTTAGTTTGTGACTTTGGAGCAGTTTGTCCACACAACCTCGCAATGTCACTACAGAGGCGATCTATGTAACCAGAGACTTTCAGGTCATAAGTTAGAACTCATTGACTATTCTGTCACTTTGGTGGGAATTAAATGACTCGTTGTGAAGGAGTGATATAATGGTGGGCAATGTCATCTGTTACTACAGGTGAGTTTCAAAGCTTCATCTGATATACACCTGAATATCCGATCCCCAGTGGTGAAACGTCGTAAAAGTGTCTCAAAAAGTAGACTGAAACAGAGAGCTGTTCAGTGCTCCTTGCATCTTCTTTCCTTTTTACATTACAATCTAACACTGGAAGCTCCCCCTTTGATTGACTTTCCAATTCATAAGTGAATTGAATTGCCTCCACCTTTGAGTTAATGTATTCGAAAAATCTATCTATATCCTGTGTTCTAAGTACAGTGAATGTGTCATCTACATACTTCCAGCATACTTATGGGGTGGTGGGAGTGAACGTTTCAATCGCTATGTTTTCTCACCTATGCATGAATATATCTGCCACAATCGAGGATATTCGTGACCCCTTGGTAACTCCCTCAGCATGTTTGTATATTCCCCCCCCCTGGAATTTAAATACTGTGGAAGCCAGGCATAGCTGCACTCCCAGCATTAATTCCTCTAGTTGCATTTTTGTTCTAAGTTCAACTTCTTGGTCAGAAATGAGTTCGTCTCTGACCGCTTCTATTCGAAGAGTAGTCATTAAACCTACGCGACTTTCATAGATTTGAAGTTAGATGTGAAAATTAGCTTATTTTAAAATGTCTGTGCCTGGAAAGGATGAAATAAGATGACACTTCTAAAGTCTTACATGTCAAGGTGGAGGGGGAGATTGATAACTGAATGAGGCTGTATTTTTATTGAATCAACTGGGAGTACGTGTAACAGCGAATGACTGAAAAGTTGTCCCCTTGGGTATCTGGAAAATTCTACTACCTCTCCAACAACAAATTGAGGGGGGAATAAAGACGACTATAAAATGAGAGTTTCAAAGTAGTGTGATTATAATTGATGCTATGATTACGAGCAATGATATAATTGTATTTGAAAGTTTGTCATCCAGTATTATTATTATCATTGTTTCCTTTAATTCCTAGAGGAACATAGGGTTTCAGTCGTGCGTCTCCATTGCGTTCGGTTCTCTGCTAGAGTCTTCACCTGGCTCCAAGTCTGCCCACACGTTTTCATCTCCTCTTCACATGACCTCCTCCATGTCACCCTTGCACTGACGACCAACTCCCCGCTTCCCACTGCATTCGGGTTCCACTCGAGCAGTGGCTTGTCTAGTGATGTCACTTGATGGTTTCCTCAGCGTATGGCCAGCCAATCCATCTCCATTTCTTCCTACCTATTTTTTTCACAATCGGTTCCTGCTGTGTTGGTTCGCTGACTACCAGAAATCTCTGTTGCTGATCTTTTCTGGCCGGCCATCTGATCTTGAGTAGTATTGAGCGAAGACACCTAGTTGTTAATGAAGGTCTGTAGTTTGTTTGAGATGCTCTTTATGACGCTCAGTGCAAGTCTCTGATCCATCCGTATAGTAACAATGATTTCACATTGGAGTTGAAAATCTGGATCTTATTTTTGATGCTGAGTGCTGTTGACCTCCACACAGATTGGGGAGTATTGAAAGCTTGTCTTGCTTTTCCGATCGATTCTTGCTTTGATATCCTCGTCAGTTCCGTCCGCCTGTAGTTGAAACGATGCTTCCCACGTCGGTAGGTAAAGGAGGTTGTTTCTTTCAGATTTCTCCCATTTATGCTGATCATTGTCCATTGTTGTTGTTGCTGTTGGTGGTGTTGCCCAGGAATCTTCATCACCTCTGTTTTCTCTATGTCATCCAGTAAATAATACTAATACTGTTTCACTCTGTGTATACGTGTGCATGTGCGTGTGTGTGATATATATGATAAATAAATTAAAATGGAATTACATACTATAACATTAATTCAATGCTAATTATTATTTGAAAACTTCACTAGCTAATTAAAATTTATATTCCCGCCAACACGATAAATCTCATTGATGAATTTAAACAAAACGAATAAATATGTTCACTGTTTCATTAAAATTACCACTGCCATTATTATTATTATTGTTATTATTTTTAATAATAATCATCCAACTTCCTGCTAGGCTATAGAAAAAAGCAACTAAATTATTATTATTATTATCAGATGACTGACAAAATTCGCGACAACATTTCTCCCACCGCAAAATGATGCAATTAAAATGTAATCGATGTATGTGAATTAATTTGGATGGAAAGCAGCGGAAGAGTAATGACACATTAATGTATCTAAAATTCATCCACCTACCCACCGACATACCCCGCGAAGACATACACTCACAGGGACACAAAGCAATAATTCTGAATGCGTGAAATAGAAATAACTATTAGTGTGTGCGTGTGTGTGTGTGTGTGCGTTTGTGAGTGTCTAGCGTTAAATGATTCAACTTTCATGATTAGATGATGGTTGTTTAAATGATACAATTTGAGCGGGGTTTTTCAACTGTTCAAAATGCAACTTCGATTACTTTGAAAAATGGGTAATAGCAACATAACAAACAGCTGGTTGGCAACGAAAATGAGGCATTTTCTAGGAATGGAATCCAATAGCGTCAGCGCTAGCGGGATGTACCTGCATGCATTACCCCCCCCCCTCAAAACGAGTGATTGGTGGATGGTAGGTATTCTGAATGAGACTTGATCCCAGCACCGGTAGTTTCAAACATCGCCAAAGTGTTAAGCCTTTAGATCAGCTGGGCCAAGATAAACAGTCTAGTGTTTGAGGTGATGGGTAATGCCCTTGAGTCACAGCCAGGGGAACACCACCCATTGCTCATTGGGGTGTGGGTGGAGGAATGCAGGTACATTCAGCTAGCCGACGAGTTCTAAAGAGGACTAAATGGGCACCCACTCAAGAGTGTGTTGAGTGTATGACGTTACTGAACGGTGTCGTCAGCGCATATTTTCGGTCATTCGTCCACTTCATCCACTTCCTTCCACATTTACTTTAGGCAATAGGTCTCTTGGTTGATTCATAACACCCACCACCAGAGTTCCTTATCACTGGATGAACTAGTACGTCGGGTTCAATTAGATTATTGGAACATAAAATTCAGCTGAACCTAGGATTATGGATCTTGCTAAGTTAAATAACTTAGAAAACAGAAATCAGCCATCGCACTACATTGTACTCACACTTGTATTTGATCAAAAAATTAGGTGAGTAGGACAGGATGAGAGTAATAAACTGTGATATAGACAGGTGAGTACGTGGGTGGCACAGCGATAGAATGCTCGCCAACCACGCTTCTTATGGTTCGGGGTTTGATCCATAGACGACGCACTGCTGTACCTCGCTAAATCAGTAATAAGACTGGAAAAGGGAGAAGGTTGGACATGAGGCTAACAACACCACAGCTACTGAAACTTCAAGCCTCTAGCTTGAAAACCAATGTTCCACTGGGAACGTACAGAGATAAAATAGATAATAATAATAATAATAATATGGTTAGTTGGGATGAGATAGAGGTGAGCTGGATCACTGAAGCTTTGTTTATGAATTCAACGCCACACACGTGGAGAATCGGAATGACACACACAACACCTATAGCGGAGATATGGAATGTGGCAACAAACAACAAAGGGAAGAATATGGAAAAAGAGAGAGAGTTTATTTATTTCACTTTATTTTATTATAGCTTGATTCCCCTACAGTATTTTCGATAGAAGTATGGAATTTTCAGCATGTGATACCGGTAGGCCAAATTTAGCAGGCCGACCACCATTGATATCGGTTGTGCGTCGGCCGGGGATCGAATCCCGGACCATGTTCATGATCGGCGAGCGTCCTAATCTCTGTGCCACAGACACACATAAGACAAAATGTGAAACCTTATCATCCAGTCGTTAATAATACGGAGTAATCAACAAAAACTTAGCTGATATAGAAATTAGCTACTTATATTAGTAGTATATGTATTTTTGATACAAAAAATCACTTTTCATTCACATTATCCCTATTTCAGAATGTTCATCTACAATTAACGCATATGAAGAAACTCAATGGATTTACAAATATTAAAACTACCTTACAATAATAATATTAATAATAAAAATCCCCAATTACTCAATTTAACTGGTAACAAACATAAGAAATATTTAATTATTGAAAGTCAAAATCAATTCCATACTTGTGTGATCATCATTTCAAGAAGATCTTTGATTCATATTCTGATTCCTAATATTCCTAAAGCTTTAAGAGAAGTTAACGCCTGGAAATCATCAATCAAAGAATATTTTATACACAATATTGATTTATTGATTTCTTTAATTGATTATTCTGCCTTTATTTATACGAACACTTGGATACTCACGTATATTTCCCTTCATTATTATTATTTAGGTTTTCACATATCATTGTCGAAGCTATCAGAATGTTTTTTATTAAAATTATGCTGATAAAATGTCGTTGGTGTCATCATTTTATCAATTGGGAAACAACGATTATTATCAGTTATTTTAAATGGATTATATGCATGGATTTATTATTGATTTTATTAAATTTAAACAAAGCTGATACAAATCAACAAATAATCAATACTACACAGAATAAAAATCACTATTTTAGTAATGATTTATATCATCATTATTATTCTAATGTGTCTTTCAATAATCAAAAAAGAAATTTAACACGATTTGAATTATTTAAAATAATTAATAATACAAATCAATCAACTATACGAATGAAAATAAATCCTATTGAACAGATTGAAATGTCACAACCACGAAGAATTGAACGTCGTAGTCATGCGGTGAAGTTTCCACCACCTGAAGAAGTATCCACTCCAGATTATACACATCCTTATCAAGATGAGAAATGTGCTGAATTTATACAATCTACAGAGATAAAATATGTTAAAGATCCATCAATGTTAGGCGGATTTTTTGGTATGTCTGGATTACCGAAACGTTCGGTGGAGTATAGTTTTCAAACACCTAATTATCCAGCTCCTTATCCATTGGACATTGAATGTATTAAAGTAATTGCTGGTAAGTTGGTGAAGTTGCATAAAAAAAAATCGTGTCGATTTTTCTAAAAATTTGCATTTGTGTTTTATTATTTGGAATCCAAAGTGTGCGGGTAGGGAGGGGCGGATGCGTTCAATGTTGTTTTAGGATCCGTCCATTTCCCTCAGTGAGTGATAGTGTTACACAATATTAGTAGGTGACCGATGTGACAACATTTCATTGTCTGAGACGCTCGAGTCTTAGCGGAGATACTGTCATACACCTAACATGGGGATATAATCGGAATAGTACTTATAATACAGTGTGGAATCCTCCGAATTCGTTACAATATTGCATCTAATTTACCCAACCGATGAATCACAACTTCTACGATTTCGCCAATATACAGTGCAAGCAACCCCGGGTAGTGCCTATTGCTAAAGTGTTGCAAACTACGAAGAAACAGCAACTATCCAGTTGTCTACTTCCTGCTTTCCCAGTGGTTCTCCAACTGATGTGGCCTCACTATGAAACCTACAACCAATCAAACCACTGCATGCCAATGGTCGCGAAATGGACATGATATACTTGAACCCCTTAAGCAGCTTTACAGCTTTGAAGCGAAGTAACGAATACGAGATAGATCGCTTTGTCAGCTTGTGTGTTTTCCTAATCTTGGAAAACACAAAACAGAAGACAAGAATACGCTTTTACTATTACTGAATATTTTCTATTTTCTTTTGCTAAAATCCAACGCGAAATTTGAAAAATCTATCCACTGAATTTTGAACGCATTATATTGTTAAAAAAAAATTAAAATAAAAAAGCTTACCGCCTTTTTGTTTTCGTTTTAAACTTGTTAGTACAAAATCAAATTCAGGCATATATTCTTCAATTTTATCCGGATGACCAACATAACTGGTACCATTAGTATTCGTATTTATGGTGTTCTCACGTTTCTGACGAATATTCACTGTATTCTTTATTGAAGTATTACTTGAATTTCCATGCAGTTGTGATGCTTCACGACGTGTTTTAATATTTTCTAGCACGTCTGGTTTCATTTGTGGTGATGCTATTACCATACGAATAATAAGACGTGGATGATAGATAACAAGATCTCGAGCATGTCCATGATTATTGATCAGTTTTACTGTGTCTAAAACTTTATCACAGAATCGTGTAACTTTTGGACATGGTGGTACAAACTGGGATATTGTCTTGCCACTGTACACTTCAAAGAATGTATGTTTTCCATCGACAATTGAAGCAGGATCTTGTAGAGACAGCTTGTCAAGACCTGATTCTCCACCTAAATATATTTAAAGGTGTGAAATAAGAGAAAAAAAAAGGTGTGGGTAAGATTATGGTGAGATGGTTTAAAACAAAGGATTCGTAGATTTATTATTGTTATTAGTATTATTAGTCACTTGGGTTCCGAGAAGAACATAGCACCTTAACGACACATCTCAGCTTTGTTCTATTCCCTGCTGTCCTCTCCATCTGGCTTGCTGGCTGGCTGGCTGGCTCCATGACTGCCCATAATCCCTCATCTCCTCCTCCTGCAACTCACACGATCTCTCCAATGTCACCCTCATACCGACGACTCACAAGTCCCTTCCCATTGGGATACCACTCGACTGATGCCCCACAATCACTGGAATGATAGCTTTGAGAGCTATTCGCAATATAAAGAAGCCTTTAAATCACGGAATCAGTTGCAGCGAAGAAAAGTTTTTGTTTCGACGAAATCATCAACAAGGCTGTACATTTGTGTATTTGTAATAAATGGGTAGGAGAGTTCCAGAATAATTTCCCGTCAAGGGTCAAATTAAATAAAATTACAATTAAGAATTAAAGTGCCATAATAAACAGGGTGGGACGGATAAAATCCAAACAAAGTAGCATCATAATTACTGAGAAGTTTGACATTTTGTGCAATGGGGGGGGGGTTAGAAATGTAGAAATAACAAAAATAGACAGGATGTTTGGATAAAAATCTAGTGGGATCATAACTAATGTGACGAATAATTGTTTATGCAGTCAGGGATTAAATATGTAGAAATGATAAAATAACAAAACAGGCAGGAAGTTTGGATATGAAAATATGGTAGTGTAAATAGGGATTAAGAAAAACTTAAAAATAACACGAATAAACAAACAGGAAGTTTGCATAAGAAAGGCAATGGAATGGTCATTACTAAAGCAATTATCTGTTTGTGATGACCACGGCAGGGACAGGGGTTGGACGTATTTTTTGGATACAAAGCATGAGTTTGAGCTTTTGGATAGCTAGTACCTCGACTATGCCCAGATGTTTTAATTTTAATCCCTTTGATAGGTTTGATCAAATCCTGTATATTATTATTTTGAAGGATTTTTCGAATGGCGCTGAATGTCCTGAATTGACCAAATGTTCTGTAACGGAACTATATACACGTTTTCGATCTCCTTTTACTAGCCGGGCATTTTAATTCCTAATTGCAATTTTTTATTAATTTGACCCTTAACCGGAAATTATTCTGGAACTTTCCCATCCATTTATCATAAATACACGAATGTACAGCCTAGTTGATGACTTCGTCGAAATGAAAATTTTCTTCTCTGCAACCGTCTTCCTGATAAAACATATGACCAGGATGATGATGAAATAATTTTAGGAATTCAGTTGTGCCTCACATCTACTATCTTTAAATTCCAAGGCAAAATATATAGACAAACTGAAGGAGTAGCAATGGGATCACCAATATCCCCTATCGTAGCAGATATATTTATGGATAGCTGGGAATATATGGCTCTTAATACGTCTAATCCCACTCCAAAAATATGGTGGAGATATGTGGATAACACTTTCACAGCGTTAAAAACAGAACTTATCTCTCTCTAGCTTCTTAACACATATAAACTCACTAGTGGAGGGAATAAAATTCACATTTGAAACCGAAAATGAACAAGGAGAATTAGCTATGTTAGATTGTAAAATAAAACGAATAGAAGAAGGCAAACTAAACACTAGTGTTTATGGAAAACCAACGCATTCTAATAGATATTTCGACTTTGATTCATCTCATCCGTCATCTGTCTGTTAAGGCAGGATTAGTTAAGTGTTCAACAAACCGAGCAATGGCACTAAGTAGCACAAAAAAAGACCTAAACGACGAGATAAAACAGATAGAAGAAGCGTTGGTGTTGAATAATTATCCTTTAAAATTCATTAGGAAGATTGAAAAAGGCCAAAAGAAAAATAAAAAGAATTGTGAAACTAGTAATAATAATATAAACAAGAGAGAATATAAGTGATCTACAGTTATACCATATAAGGAGGGGACATCTGAGACCCTACGTAGGATTCTAAATGAAGCAGGAATCAGGGTGGCATTTAAACCTACAAACTCACTCAGGGACAAGCTCTGTAGGTTGAAGGACCCAGTTGACCCAAATAGACAAAATTATATAATTTACAAAATACCCTGCAATGACTGTGAGTGAGGTCAACTACATAGGTCAAACTAGTAGGTCAGGGGTAGTCAGATTGTCAGAACATAAGAATTTAGCTAAGGTAAGAATGGTTGACCCAGAGAAGATAAGTAATTTAGAAAAAAGCTCAGCAGTTGCAATGCATGCATTAACACACAACCACACAATAGGGTGGGAGAGGGTTAAAATTCTAAAAAGTAATCTAAATAGGTGGAGAGCGAGAGAGGTTGGTTACTGAATCTTTTTTCATGGAATCTACACCCAACACATGCAATAGGAATGATTCATCACTCATACCCGAAATATGGAAAATATTACTACCAATCAAATCAAGTGAAAAACAATGGAAATATTTGAAATGAATTTAATAAGTCGTGTGATCACCTTGATATGATTATGAGCAGTAATAAATTGTGCTCGAAACGTGGTCATCAGTAAACATTACTGTATAACACTGTGAGACTTTATCAAAACAAAATTTACCCATAATGGAATTACACTCTACCACAGTGCACAAGTTTTATCCTTATGTCAATATGACCAAGAATGCAGAAAACGACTATTCTACATCATTTAATAAGAAGCTTTTTTATACACGACTTTAATTCAAGAGTGATGTACCGAGTGATGAAACAAGTACTAACAAGTCAAGAAAATCTATTCAAAGAACTTTCAATACTGGTAAACTGCAAGTCATATCTTGCTCATGACCGGTTCTGATTCCTCGACTGAAAGATGAAGTACCTAGACTCGACGAGACCTACCACCTCTATTTGTATTTCCGGATTCAAGTGTGATTGCAGTGGAGCGACTTATATTGGCCATCGCTCTAGGGAACTTGATTTTTCATACTCACTCAGGAATACCAACCAGTCCGGTAACGCTGAATAAAGTGGAAGTGTGCTGAAAACCATCACCAACAGCTCGATATTAAACTACCTGGTCCAAACCGGCCAAGAAGCCAGCTAGTAGTGAAGAATCCTTCTCATTCATCAACTGTTGGGTACCAAATAATTTGTCTAAAGCATCCAGGTGCTGAATAACCTACCAAACAGCAGAGGCTATTGAGATTCGCCTAAAACAGCCGATGTTCTATGTGTGTGTGTGTGTGCAGAAGAAACAGATCCAGCCGGCCAGATGCTATCACTGCCCTAGCCGGCCTTCTGTGAAGCCTGTCAATTCTGTATTTTTTTTGGAAGTTTTTATAATTATTGTCTGATATTCTGTGTTCTTTGTATTCCTTCACAATCCCAGTGCTGGAACACAAGGCTTCAAGCTAGAGGCTTGTAGTTTCAGTAGCAGTTGTGTTTATTCCTACGGGATGCGGTAGCTAGCCTCATGCCCAACCCTACCTCTTTACCAGTCTTATTACTGACTTAGCGGGGTGAAGGAGGGCGTCTGTGGCCGTGGATCGAACTGCGAACCACGTGAGGCATGATCGGCAAGCATTCTACCACTGTGCCACTGGCACGATATTCATATTATCACACTTAAAGATGCCACTGAACTGTAATCTATTTATATTATTGATTTATTCAATGTTATTTAAACGACATTAATGTTGT